GGCTTACAACCATCTGTAACTTCAGTCCCAGGGGACTCAATACCCTCTTCTGGCCTCCATGGACACCAGGCATGCACATGATGCACAGACATACATGTAGGTAAAATATTCATACACATAAAATAAATAAATGTAAAAAAAATAAAATCTTGGTAATAGCCAAACAGATGTATTACAAAATAAACATCTGTTTTCAATACAATTTCTCAGACAAAGGGCTTACTTTATGGACGGGCTTTTCATATTTCATCGGGCTTTGGCTATTTATGACATGTTACTCTATTGTATAATAGAAACATTATTTTTATGTTTGCTACCTTGGAGGGACAGTGAAGTTCTATCTTTTACCACAGAGCTCATTTCATTAAAAATGAAAAGTCTGGTGGTTTCTTAGCTCAGGACTAGAAAATAGAGCCAGGAACAAACTCTTACCTGGTGACACTTTGGTGGGATATGTAATATGAGGAAACATGAGTAAGAAAAGGGGGCACTAAGGTAGATGAAAAGCAAACCCAAGAGTTAGTCACCATCTAGACATAATCTTTGGAAACAGTTGATTCAATTGTGGTTTCCAAGAACAGTGTCAGTAGAAGGAATGTAAAACTGCTGTGTGTTTATTATATGTGGTCCTAGAGATCAAAACCAGGGCTTTTGATATGGCAGACAAGCACTCTGCCATTGGGCCATGTTCCTAACCCTCTGTCAGCTTCCACAAGCAGCTGCTCTCTTGGTCAAAATCTGCCTCACAGGACATTAACTCTCGTATGTCCATGGGTGCGTTCATGCTAGTTTTGTGCCTCCGTTATCAGGTGACACTACGTCATGTGACTACTCAGGTTGTAGCTGGAAGCAGGGTGGCAATGCCTTGCACCCTAGGAATGTACAAGCAGGATGAACCTTTGTTTTCTTTCTTAGTCAGAATATAAAGCAGTTAATCTAGCTCTAGATTAGATGTAGAGTCGAATGGGTCTAGGATGGCACATAAATTGAAGTAGGTAGGAGATGCCATCATGCTCACAATAATGCTATTGCTGTGGGAAACCAAGGGAAAAGACATCCAAGCTGTGTTCTGGGTAACAGTTTCATTGTATGCATATAACAAGGCCCAGGGATATTAGTTCCAAAAGACCGAACCCTTCAGTATCCAAAGACTGCGACTTTTATACATTTTTTGTTTCTTTGTCTTCTGGTTAAATACACTGTAATTTAGGTATTTTAGACTAGGAGGCAGTGATTGCTAGAATGAGAAGGGTGGGAAAAGGCAGGGGGCTGCAGGGGAGCTCTATGGATAGTCGAGTACGTGACAGCTTGCACATATGCCTGTGCTGGACATTGACCAGACCACATGGCTGTTTCTTGTTTTTCTTTCTCGAAGCCCTCTAGGGGCCCCTCCTTCTACAACATTATGGGTCTATTATGAAGGGTTCTATAAGGACCACAAGATAGGATACCCTATACTTTGGGCTTTGAAAATTATTTAGTTTGTAAAAGTGGTCTGGACCAAAATTTTGGAGTCAGCAATTGAAGTACTCATATATACCATTTTTTCCTCAGGAAGCATTACAATAAATGTGCTAATCAGCACATTTGAGTAGTATAAAATTTGTTGGCCAGTCCTCTTATCCAAGATAATATCCATATATTGTCAATCTGTGCCTTATAAACAAAGACACTATAATGTAATAACTATAAAGCATAGTTAAATCTTGAAGATATGAGTAGTTTTATATCTTTTTTTTAATCAAATACTGATATTAGGTTGTGTTGCTCGATTCTCACGTACATAATGATATCTCTATCTTGATCTAGAAGACTCTCTCATTTAACAAATTTTTTGTGCATATATGTGCATGGACTTTTGCTTGCACATATGTCTGTGCACCGTGAGTGCATGGTGCCCATAGACACCAGAAGAGGTCATCACCTGATGGTTGTGAGCCACCATGTGGGTTCTGGCTACCAAACCTTAATTGTCTTTAAAAACAGTCAGTGCTCTTAACTGCTCAGCTATCTCTCCAGACCCTCTCTTCCACTGCATTCGAGACAGAGTTTCACTCTGTAGTCCAAACGGGCCTGGAACTCAAACTTGGTATCCTCTTGTCTCAGTCTTCTGAGTGCTTGCTGGGATTGCATATGTACAACATCATGCTCAGCCAAGAAATGTCTCTCAATCAAAAGAAATTTTATCAATGTTTTTCTTCATTTTATTTTATTGTCTTAAAAAGTTTCCCCGGGCTGGAGAGATGGCTTAGTGGTTAAGAGCACTGGCTGTTCTTCCAGAGGACCTGGGTTCAATTCCCAGCATCCACATGACGGCTCACAACCATCGAGGGTGTCAGACTCACATGCAGGCAAAACACTCATACATGTAAAAATATAACTAAGCCAGGCGGTAGTGGCACATGCCTTTAATCTCAGCACTTGGGAGGCAGAGGCAGGCAGATCTCTGTGAGTTCGAGGCCAGCCTGGGCTACAGAGTGAGTTCCAGGAAAGGCGCAAAAGCTACACAGAGAAACCCTGTCTTGAACCACCCCCCGCAAAAGTCCCACTTTATAATGTGATGAAGATTATATACACTATATCCTAGAAACTATGTTGTTTTGCCATTAATATCTGGATTTATAATTCACTTGCAGTTTACTTTTTAAAGCATCTTGATTACATTTGTCTCCTGAGTGGCTATCTGCTTAACTCAGATACATATATATGTATGTGTGTGTGTGTGTATATATATATTCTCTCATATATATATGTATGTATCTCCAGGCCTCTATTGTATTTTTTACTTTGAGATAGGTCTCAATGAGTTGCTAGAGCTGACTCTGAACTCACTCTGAAGCCCAGCCTGGATTTGAACTTGTGAGATACTTCTGCCTTCGTTTCCGGAGTAGTTAAGATTACATTTCTTTTCTCTCTCCTCCTTCTGGATTTCCCATATGCATATGTTTGTCTGTTTGATGGTGGCCCATGGATCGCTTAGGCTGTGTTCAGGTTCCTTTCTTCTTTTTGCTTTCTGTTACTCAGAGTTCATCATTTCAATTTTCCCATCCTTACGTTCACCGACTCTTTTTTTATACCTAATCAGATGTTTTGTTATCCCTTTAGTGATTGTTTTCATTGGAATTATTGAAATTTTCAATTCCAGAGTTACTTTCCCCAACCCTGCCCTCCTTTCCTGTTACTCCCCTGCCTCGTCTCCGCTTCTGCCTTTTTCAATTTCTATCTCTGTTGAATTTCTGGGTCTGCTGAGAAAGCAACGTTAGCTTTCCTTTCTCGTGTTTTTCTTCACTTCTGTGAGCACACTGAATGAGTGGATTTGCAGTCTTTGTTTAACAAGTTTAACAGGCTTCCTCCAGAGTGCTTGTGTTAGTTTATTGTTTTCCTGTGTGTTGGCCAGATTATCTCGGGTTGTCATGCCTTTCAATATATTTTTCCCTAAAAAAGGAAAACAAAGCCTCAAACAGACGTTATGGCATTTTGGCAACTGTAAATGAGACTCTGCTTCTCTCTATGAAGTATGGTGATTTTTTTGTTGTTGTTTAGCCATTTTATTGAACCAGTCTGAAAAGGCTATATTCTTTTTTGTCTGTAGCCACCTTAATGCATGTTCCAGTAGTTTAATATTCAGTTACTGAGTCAATAGAGATTTCCTTCAACACTTGCGACCAAATGAAATTAAATCAACAACATATTCCATTGTTTTCTCATGGACCATGTGTGTTGTGGGCACATCTTAACGACTCATTTGCATAATTTCAAACTTTTCCTTGGATTTCACTTCTGCATATGTTTCACATTCTACACCTAAGGGTCAGTCAGAAGTGAGAACTTAGGGTCATCTTGGTCTTTTTATTTATATTTTTGTTCTAGTCAGGGTCTCACTAGGTATCCCTGGCTGGCCAGGAACTCGCTATGTAGAGCATGCTGGCTTCAAACTCACAGGGATCCACCAGCTTCTGTTTGGAGGGGTGGGACTAAACATTTGTGCTGCCATGCTCAACAATGTCCTCAGATCTGTGTGTGCTTTATGGATTTCAGAAACTGGCTGAAGCTTTACCAGGGTCTTCTTCCTCAGAACATCTTATTCTCCAGGGTTTCCTCTCAATTGATGCCGTCTATTTTTTTTTAAACCTTAATGGATGTTCCACACCTCAGGAATTAGTAGATAAAAATATTTGCCTTCACACATTTTTCAATGAATGTCCCTAAAATAAACATTTCATCTTTGGAAGTGTTCTGAATTAGGGAAAATAAATGCAAACCCTTTGAGCTGGTTCTTCAAAGAGTCACCAAATGGTAGAATCAATAATCATAGATCCTTAAAAATATAGTCTGTCCTGTTATTTTTAGGGGTAGGAGCACTGTCAGGGAATATGTACTGGTTTCTTTAAAGTTACTTCAGAGGCAGGGGTGGGCCTGTCGTTACATGAGACATCACTGAGTTCTTTTTTATTTATTTTTAAAAAAGTTTTTTTTTTCATTTTACATACCAATCCCAGTTCCCCCTCCCTCCCCTTCTCCTGGCCCCCACCTCCCCAATCCCACCCCCATCCACTGATCAGAGAGGGTAAGGCCTCCCTTGGGGAGTCAACAAAGTCTGGCTTATCAAGTTGAGGCAGGACCAAGCCCCTCCCCACTGTGTCAAGGCTGAGCAAGGTATCCCACCCTTGGGAATGTGTTCCAAAAAGCCATTTCATGCACCCGGGATAAGTCCTGGTCCCACTGCCAGGGGCTCCCCAAACAGATCTAGCCACATAACTGTCACCCACATTCAGAAGGCCTAGTTTGGTCCCATGCATGTTCCCCAGCTGACAGGCCAGAGTCCATGAGCTCCCACCAGCTTGGGTCAGCTGCCTCTGGTTTTCCCCATCATGATCTTGACCTCACTTGCTCTTGTGATCCCTCCTCCCTCTCTTCAACTGAAGTCTAGGAGCTCAGCCCAGTGCTTGGTTGTGGATCACTGCATCTGCTTCCATCAGTTACTGGATGTAGGTTCTATGATGACAATTAGTGTAGTCACTAATTTAATTGTAGGGGAAGGTAAGTTCAGGCACTCTCTCCATTATTGCTATGCGTCTTAGCTGCTGTCATCCTTGTGGATTCCTGGGGATTTCCCTAGCACCAGGTTTCTCCCTAACCTCCCAATGGTTCCCTCTACCAAGATATCTCTTTCATTGCTCTCCCTCTCTGTTCCTCCCTCCACTTGGCCATCTCAGTCCCTCATGTTCACATCCCCCATCCCTTCCCTTCTACTCTCCTCCCAGTTTACCCAGGAGATCTTAACTATTTCCCCTTCCTGGGGACCTCCATGTGTGTCCCTCTTAGGGTCATCCTTGTTACTAGCTTCTCTGGGGTTGTACCACCAAGTTCTTTTACTGAAGTTCGGCTCTTCATTCCCTCTTGATTTTTCTGACTGGTGTAAAGCTTTGATTAGTTTCTGCAATTCCAATAAACCTGTTTCTGACAGTATTACCCATCTTGTACTGCTTTTCTGTGGGAATGGGATTTTGGAGCTTCTTACGATGCCATCTTATTTCAGTATTTTCTTGATGAAACAGCTGCACTTCCTCAAAAGAATTATTGCACCTGAGACATCTGTGCTTTTGTCACGGATGTGGGCTTCTGTACAGGGAAGCCACTCTGTGGATTTGGATAGTAAGTTCCAAGGTGTGAGCCTTCCCAATACCTCAGGTTTTGCTTGAGAAAACAACTGCTGGAGCTGGCCAATTGCTCCAGATCGGATGACATCATGGCCAACCTGTTGCTATAGAGAACAATCATGTGGGCAATACTTTATAATTGCTATTTTCATCCCACCTTGACCAAAAACTTGAATGGATTTCTTTCTTTTCCTCTTATCTTCAATGAGAAAACCTATTTCATTTTTGAGGTAAAATCAATTAAACTGCACCTTTACCTTTAATAGCTCCCTTTATATGGAAAGGGCAGGGAGAGAGAGAGAGGGGAGAGAGAGAGGGGAGAGAGAGAGAGAGAGAGAGAGAGAGAGAGAGAGAGAGAGAGAGAGGAGAGAGGAGAGATTTTGTGTTAGGATGCCTCTCTTCTACACTTCTCTAAGAGGGGTTGTCTAGGAATTTTCATTTTCCAGCTAGTTCATACCCAGGATCTATCAGTTTGTCAAAATTATTGTTGAAGCTGGGTGATGGTGGCACACACCTTTAATCCCAGCACTCGGGAGGCAGAGGCAGGCGGAGCTCTGTGAGTTCGAGGCCAGCCTGGGCTACAGAGTGAGTTCCAGGAAAGGCTCCAAAACTATACAGAGAAACCCTGTCTCAAAAAAGCCAAAAACCAAAACCAAAAACCAGAATTGTTGTTGAATTGCTCCTCCAGCTATTGGCTCTGGAGCCTTCTGCTTTAAGCAAGCTACTTGTGACTGATTTTATCTGTACCTCCAAACTGGGGAGGGGCATTATTTTACCTACTGCTCTGGTTTCATTTCTGTTGCTATAATAAAATAGTCTCACAGAAAGCAACATCGGGCCTGATGTGGTGTGGTGGCCTTGCCTTTAATCCCAGCGTTGGAGAGACAAAAGCTGGTAGAGTGGCAACTGGAGACCATGGCTCATTGGCGGCATGGATCTTAGGTGACCGAGAACTGTGGAGGCAAAGCTCTTTTGATGCAGCTATTAGCTCTTATTGACCTCAGCGAGATGGTTTTTATAGCCACATAAAAGAAAAAAGGAACCGCTCAGGTTATGAACCATTTGGTACGAAAATGAAGATTACCTGGGAACCTAGGTTCAAAGTTGGACCACTGACTTCTACATGCAGATCAAGCTCATTTTAGTTCTTTAAATGATCCATGAAGTTGAGGGGGTGGAGCTGTTTTTGGGGAACCTGGGGTAGATATGTGGGAAGCGTTCTACAGAGTCCTAAATTAGTAAAAGGTAGGACCTGTAGCCCGGCATCCAGCCCTAAACAATGATGGACTTAGATGTTGGTTGGTTTGTCTGTCTGTAGAGGGCAGCACACACCAAAGGAAGGGAAGAGGAAATCCCCCTGAGGCTGTTTGTTACTAAGGAAGTTTTTATTCTTTTAAGGAATAACAGGTTTGAGGCAGTCCGAAGACCTCCGGTGAAGCAAGGCTGTATATCAGAACCTGCTATTCCACTCTCATTCCCAGAAAACCCTTAATCCTAGTTCCCTTTGGCTCTGTGAAGACAGGACCAGCATCTAGTGTAGAAAGGAAGGTTGGGAAGCTGCAGGGTGACGCTAGTCCAGCAGTGGTGGAGGAGCATACAGGTCAGAAAGTGACCGGAAGACAAGGTGGATGGTGTGCTGAAAACCTAAATGGAAGACAATATTTTAATAGTATTTAGTTTAGGTACAAATTAATGGGTTTCATTATGATATTTTCAATATATATCACTGTACCTTGTTCATATTTGCTTTTCATTAATTTTTGAGTGTATTTCAGTTGTATACAATAATGGGTTTCATAATTAGTCATATCTTCATGCAGGCATCTAACACACTGGGGTTAAATGGCCAACTTCTAAAGCTGGAATCTAGAGGGGACATACCTGAGACTTCTGAACCAGAACATAGACCAAACTTGCTTCTTTCTTGTCTGGTTTCCTGCAGATAATCTGGAAAAGGGAGGAAGGAAATCCCTCCACACAGTGTGCTATCGTGGAGAAAGTGTGGGACCTGGGTGTGACAACTCAGAGGCCAGGCTCCAGAAGCCGAGCTGTTTCTGCCTCTCTCAGTGTTTGTTTCCCCTCGCCCAGCACCCCATTTTATTCCAGTACCAGAAAAAGATAGGGGTTACACTTGAGGAGAAATTTCAGAGAGAAAAATTTGAAAGTTCTTATTCTGAAACAACAGATGGAGTAAGGGAGAAATGGAGGAAGGCAGCAAGGGAGGGAACGAGGGGGACAGAGGGGGCGGGGGACTAGGTGTTGGCATATTCTTCTTGAAAGATTGTATTGCTCTTGGAGCATCAAGAGATTGTGTTCAGGAGACATGACTAATAATATGGGACCAAGAATACTATCACTAAAGAACTTTGTCCATGAGATCCGCTAGTGATTTTGATGGATATGAGATATGCTCAGTTGATGAACTATGGAAACCCGGTTTGCAGGCCAGGACTTAAAGTGGCTAGACTGCTCATTCACAGCTGCATAAAGAAATAATCAGTTAAGAAAAGACCAAAAGAACGGGTTGCTTCAGGCAGGGCTGATGAAAGGCATTAGTCTCAACTCAAGGATCAAAGAAAGCCGAAGTCCTGAGGATGATGTAGAATTAAATCATTTGTGAAAAGGATTTAGAAAGTCACGGAGAGAAGATCATCTCCATAAACAAGAATCACCCTATGACCCACTGAAGGTTGAGATTTGGAACTCTGAAGACAAGAAACTTTTATTGAGCTCTTGACCTGATCAAGTGTGCTTCCATTCAAGGAAAAAAAATAATGTTCACCAAGCCCACATATGCTGTTTTTTCCCTTAGCCACAATGTCAGTAGGCATTTAGCCAGCCTCTCAGTGGTTGGAAACCGGATCCCCAACCCCCAGCCCACTGTGAGGGAGAAGGCATTGTGTGTCCCGGAAAATCCGAACACCAGTATGGGAAATCAGGGCCAGATTAAGATGTGCATCGATGAAGTGTGTCGAGAGACCGTGTTACGTTGCTGCAAGTCATTTCTGCAGCAGGCCGGATTAGATCTGCTAATAAGCATGACAGTTATTAATAACATGCTTGCCAAGTCGGTTTCAGACCCAAAGTTTCCTTTGATATCCCAGGGAAGGGAATGTGCAAAGGTTGAGGGTTTGGAAGCACTGATGGGTTTGCCTGAAAAGCCAGTGTTGGCAGGGGAAGTGCTGGCTGCCCAAATGCTGTCCTCATCCATGCTCCCCTTTATCAGAAGTGGGAGCAGAGAGATGCTCCTGGAAGCCCTCTCCCCATAAGTGGCTGTCTTGAGCAGAAGGAGATCGAATCCACCCACAGCCCGAGCAGTTTACTGAGGGAGGGAAAGAAGCTGCAGAGGGTGCAGGCAAGGGTGCAGCCTTAGCCAGTGAGCTCCTCCTTGGGCGAAAGTTCCAGTGGCTAAATGGAGGGCCGCACTCTTCTTGGCCAGGTAGGCCTCCCCAGAGCCCTGGGCAACTTCTGGGCCTTGTAGTCTGCAGGTGAAACGCATTGCAAATTGCTCCCTTGCAGCCTCCCTCCTGCAGTAAAGGGTGGAGGGATCACCCCTTTGGCCGCTAGCTGCGGATGAGGAACATGAAATCACAGCATCACGAGTGCTGTCCTTGCCTGTGGTGATCTCCCTGTCTAAGCGGGACCACTTAGCAGAAATGACACCCACATGGGAGCTTGTGGCCAGCTTGCATCTGCTGCCTCTCTGCTTTGGTTGAAGTAGTTCCCTCTCCTCTTTTCTACACTAGCTGATGAATGGCTAGCATGTTAATCAAAGAAATACACTCCCCTCCTGTCCGATGTACCGACTGACCCTCTTCCACCCGAGCCCCCACCTGTGTGTATCATCAATAAACTCGTGTGCTTTGATTGGCAAGAAAATGAAAAGGGGGCACTGGACTCATCTTTGAGTTCGCGGTCTGCACAAACAGGGAGACACAATACACCACAGAGTCCAGCTGTCTGGGGCCCCTGCTCCCTGACAGGTGCACTCACCAGTGCTCCCAGGAGGCAGGGGCAGAAAGGGACTGCTGGGCTCAGGATAAACAGGCACAGGGGAGGGGTGGGGGCAGGGGTAGATTTAAGGTGTGGGTAGGGAAGTAGAGGAGACAACACCCTTGAAGCAGGCACCCTGGGGCCCTGAGTACAGGAAGCCCTTAAGCAAGAGGTCTTCTTGACTGGCCTCCTTGGGCTGAAGGCTCCAGCCCATGGCATTTCTCTCTGTGCATCCCGCAGTGGCTCTGTCACCCACCTGTGCCCATCTGGCAGAGGATTCTCCCAGGAGGGATTACCACTTGGCTGGCCCCTGCTAGGTCCATGTCTATCTGTCCCCTTAAGGTGCTGTCAAACCACTTCCTGCCTCCTTTCCTTCCTTGGGATCCTAAGCACTGCTTCCTGGCAGGGTGAGAGGGTTGGCAGCTGCTCCACTTTTGGGGAACCTCCTTTCTTCCCTAGCCCTTCCTAGAGGTGGAGCTTCCAGGAACCCCCACAAGGACAGAGGGGAGGATGCTGTCAGTGCTGTGCATGACTGGCCTGCAGAGATCCACACAGCCATGCTGTCTCTGAGATCCGCATACCCCTGCGAGGAAGAGGAGGCCCCTATGCACTGAGTCATGAGTCCAGGCCTGCCCAACTCACACACACACATGCACACGCACACGCACACGCACACGCACACGCACACGCACACACACACACACACACACACACACACACACACACGCAACACACCCTGCCCATTTCCAAACCTCTCCCAACTTCCCTTAGCTCCTGCCTCACCCAGGCTAGCTTCCCTGCATGGTTGCCATGTGTGGGGCAGCAGACACCTTCCCAAAGCCATGGCAAAGCAGGGGGCACACGTGCTCCCCTTGTGAGTGCTCCCCTTGTGACGCCATGCTGCTGCTGCTGCTGCTGCAGGACAGGTGTCATGTACTGCTGGATGTCCCTGGGGTGCTGTTCTGGGTCACTGTGCCCTGTGCACCAGTGGTCTGTGTGCACAGTGCCCTGCCTTCAGCCTGCTCTCCTCCGTGCATCTCTCCAGAGCTTTCATCCCTTCTTCTGCCTCCATGCACCATTTGAGTTCCAACTCTCCTGTTTGTACCCTGTTCCCAGCAGCATTCCGTGGTGACCAGTATACTGGGGTGCCTGCCAGGCCCCTGGACCAACTCTGGGAAGTTGTCCAGCCAGGAGTGGATACTGACCATCTCCAAGGTTCTGGGAAACTGGATAAAGCCAGTGGCCTATGATAATTATTGCCACACCACACAGCCATCACAGTTCGTGCCTCAGGCTGCCTTGGCTGACTGAGGGACCCTGTCTTGTCTCCCAACAGCAGCTGGTGGAGTCCTCCCCAGCAGGTGGCCTCCCCTGCCCCCCACCCACCCACCCACAGTCCCTTTGAGCCCAGTGATCCACGTTTTGGCTGGGTGATGTACATTGAAGGAGGATTTTGTGCACACACACCTACATCGTCTTGTCCTGGTCCAGTGTGCCTTGCCAGTGCTGTGTTCAGTGACAGCTCACTGCTAGGCCTCTTTAACCTCAGCACAGAGGCAAGGCAGAGGCTCCTGTCCTTGCTGGAGCTCCTGGCCCAAATTAGCATGCGCCTCCCTACTCCTCTGCACATCACACACAGAACTCCAAGTTTCCGGTCGGTCGGTGGTGTGCCATGGTCCAGCATCTCCCAGGCACTTGAGGCTTGAACACTGCAGCTGTCTCCTAACTCGGGGAGGGCCTCAGAGGCTCCTAGCACACCTCCTGAGCAGCTGTGCCCCAGGAAAGCCACCTGCCACCAAAGCTGCTCACTACAAGCATGGTCCTGGTCCAGGTCGCCCCCTCCTGTTCATTTGCTGGTAGTGCGCTCCTGAAAACATGGCTTGGGTGTGGATGCAGAGCTTTCTTGTCTGTCCCCTCATTGCTTGACTGGTGGTCTCTTGGAGCCTAAGCAGGAGGCCCGTTTCACGGTGTGTGGGTGGGGTGTCTGATTCGGGAGGCATCTGAAGAGAGTTGTGAAACAAGACCCCTGGGACCCCATCCTGTTGGGCACAGACAATGCAAGATCAAAATAGCTCTGGATCACAAAATGGACCTGTCTGCTGCTGGGCTTTCCCACCACAAACGCTGAACTAGGTCAACCATGCTGCCCTGCCGCCCCCGGTCTACAGAGCTGTACCCTGCGTGGCCTGAGCTGTCTCCTCTGTCATGTGAGCCCGCTGCAGACTGCCTTCCAGTTCCTGAAAGAGCTCTGGGCTTGCTGCTGCTGCTTCTCATGAGCACCTTCGTGTGTGGTGCCCGAGGGCACAGTTTCTCCACACTCGTTCTGGAGCCCTCCCCTGGCACCTGTTGTTCCTGGGGATTGTGTGCTTTGAGGGCCCTGCACTCCGTTCCCTGGAAACGCGGGCAGGATTGCAGCTTTCCTGTTGATTATTCCATTCTGGAAACATTCACCCTTACTTAACTCTTTGTGTCACAATCACAGCAGTTTTGACTGCAAAACTCTCATGTTTAAATGCTTTTTGTGCACAAATACTGCCGTCACCATGTCTCTCTCTGTCCATTAACACTGTCTGATTAAAAGACACTGGTAGGGTCTGCAGCAGACAGCAGTGTGTACTTGCTCCTGCTTTCCTTGTGGTAATGTGTTGGTGGGGAGAGTTTCTTTGGTGAATATTTACAAGCCTCTACTCTGAAACCTCTCAGGACCTACTCCAGCCTCTGCGGAGCCTATTCAGAAGTCCACTGCTACTGATTTTAGCAACATACTAAATTTAGCTGGTAGGTGTGAGGTTCAGGAAGACACTGAATCAGAGTCCCATACAGCCCTGCAGAACATAACTCTTCCCCTCTGTGCCAGATGTGGCATTTGTCAATTACAATCTGCCATTCTCCAGATAGCTTTGCTCCAGGCCGGGAGCTTCATTTTTCTTGATTGAGTCTGTTTTCAGGATTTTTTTTTTTTTTTGGCGGGGTGGTGGTGGTGGTGGATCTCTTTTGACACTCTTTGATTACAGAATGTGTCCCCTTAATAGTTTTGTCAGCTATCTTGTGCCGTCTTATTTCAAGTTTTGACTTATGGATCTGCTAAGAAGTGTACTGTTAGGCTGGACAGTCATGAAGCACGCCTTTAATCCCAGGAGGCAGAGGCAGGCAGGTCTCTGTGAGTTACCAGAAGGCGATGTAGAGACTCTGTCTCAAAAGGCAAGAGAAAACAAACAAACAAAAGCAAAAAATAAGTGTTCTGTTCAGCGAGATGTGCTATAGTAATGTGATATGTCTTCTCCTGCACGGACAGTTGAGGGCCCTGCCATCACTGGTTGAATAGTCCATTCATAGCCTAGTGTAGCATCTTTATCCACCAAACCCAGCATTTGTCTGTGGCTTTCTGACACTGAAGTCCCCCGAGACACACTCCTTTCTCCTAGGCTACTCTAGTTGGCTTGAGGAGCCTCAGCTTCTTGGGTAGCCCAATGCAAGTGGTATGTGTTTTGGTGAGGAGGGTTCCTTTAAGTGCTTGGGAACAGGCCTCTGCCTAGCTACTCTCTCAAGTATATTGGAGCCTGTGGGAAGCTCAGGAAGCCTCATTCTGCTGACTTTAACATTGTGGGAAATCAGGCACTGATATCTTTCCTCTGCCAAAGTCTTGTGTCTTCAAGACATATTAAGTTTCAGAATACTGTGCTGTGCTGCCATCATAAAAATCCTATGTGCCATATTATAGTCTAGCCTATGCAATTATACATTTTCTAATGTAGTGTCAAATATCTATAAATATCCCCCAAAGCAGGACATAGACTTTTTTTATGCTGTCAGGTACATTGAAACAGCAAAGGTTAATTTTGCCAGGATCCTTTCCTTTTAAATTTAAAGGAATACTTATGGATTCCTTTTCCATTCAAAAATAAATTTACTAAGCAACAATTATTCTTGGTTGATATAACAGGTATTTATGTAACATTATTCTGTAGTCAGTTTCTTTCGGTAAACTCATCATTTTTACTATTTTGCCTCTTTATTCTCTCTGACTTCCTATGTAGATAAACGTAGTTTGCAAATTATGGCAGTTTTATCTCTTGCTATCCAATAGTTCATACATAGTTCATTCCCTTTATTTATCTCTTTGCACTGTCAAGGACCTCCAGAACAAAGGCACTGATGCTGAAGCTCATATTTGTCTTCTTTCTGATCTGAATGGGCTCTGCTTCAGTGAAATGTTGATGTCTACTGGAGGTTTTTGAATAAGTAGTGTGTCATGTATTTATGTAATCAAATTTATAAAACAGTAAAAAAAATAAGTGTACTAGATCTCTGTATCGGTCTAGATAATTCTCCAGTACCTAAGGTTGAGTGAAATACTCAATTTGCAGAAAGATGCAGCAAAATGACATTTATATAATCTTAAATATCTGAAATAATACTATATATTATTTGGATACACATATTTCTAGAAAAATTTTAAATGGCCTACTGAAAGATGTGCATCAATTTTGCAGTAACATTTGTGTCTGGAAGGAAATGTCAGAAAATGTGACCCTAACAATGCAAGCAGCTCAATTTTATTAATTATTCTTAGAGATTATAATGAAATATTACAATTACAGCATATTAATGTTTCTTATTATGTTTTACTTATACTTAGATCACCATAACTTTTCTCTATACTCTTTTTTAATTAAAAAGAAAGATAAATTGTGTACCTAATATAACAAAAAAGAGTGCCCTTATCTAAACATTTCCTCAAGAAATTTTAGAAAAATGAACATTGAAAAATGACCCTAAAAGATTCTCTCACAAATCAGATTGACATCAGATTGACTTCTTATTCATAACACTGATTGTGAAATGTTAGCGCATGAATACTTCTAAATCCTTAAGAATACACCTTCTTCTGGTAGTCTCTCCCTAAAAGTGC